TCTGCAAGAGGATGGCCTAGAAGCTCTAGGAAGGGGGTCAAAGGGCACTGAGAACACAGAGCCAAGGGTCCCTACCTAAGAGGAAGTGTGGGCCTAGGGTGGACAGGAACAGGAGCTGCTGGAGCAGGATCTTGGGCACCACTAATGGACGCCTTGAACCAGCTGAGAAATCAGGCACAGTCTCCCTTCTTAGGCCTGGCCCCAGAGGCAGTGTGTGTGTGTGTGTGTGTGTGTGTGTACCTATGATCATCCTTGAAGCTGTACGGAGGCAGAGGTACAGGCCAATGCTCCAGCCACCCAGAGCAATGGCTTTCTGCTGCAGCCGGAAGGAGTCCCATGTGACATGCTAAGGAAGCCCTGGCTGCAGCTTTTCTACTGTTTTAAGAAATATGACAAGATCATCTGGGATGACTCCCACCTGGGCCACATCATCACACACTTCCATGAGGTCCTAGAGAACTGCCACCCCCTTCCCCGCAGCCCTTGTGGGCCAAGCTAAGCCCTCAGCCCAACCAGTAGCCCTTTTGGAGGGCAAGGCAGCCAGAAACAGCCAAACAATAAACCTGAAAACCGTTTAATCTATGCGGTTCAGGCTGGAGCTACCCCTCTGGCCATCCTGAGCCCCTTCACACGCCTTCAAGCTGCTACAGACACCAAAGACAATCGGGTTTCTACATAGCCAGGGTTCTTAGGCCCTAGGTCCAGGTGTGACCCACAAGGTCTCTGTCACCCTGGGTCAGGCAAGGGTGGTTCTCCAGGGAGAGAGAAAGGCAGCCACTATAACCTAGTGGGAGGCTGGAGGCACCTGGCTACCTACTAATGCTGTAGGACTCTCACCCACATCATGGGTCCATCCCTAGTCACAACTGCCTGAAAGTAGATGCTGCTGTCCCTGCTCTCTGAGGAAGCTGACGTCCCCACAACAATGGCTAGCCACCCTAGAGGGTCTGAGGATGCTGATGCCAGGGATCCTTGAGGTAGGGAAGCCAATGGGAACCAAAGGGAGGAAGGGAATGGAGAGAAAACCCAGGGTGGAGGCTCCTCCATGCAGCCAGCTTGCAATCAACACACTTGGTGTTACAGTGGCCTGCCTCCTCCTTTCTCACTCCCCAGGAATGTGCCACCTCCACCCCCTTGCTCACATCCCTTTCCTTTCTGCTTCCTGCCTCAAGCGGAAACCAGCTCAGATTTGGCTGAAGAACCTAGCAGATGCCTCCAGGCAACAAGGTCCTGAGTGCTATTTCTGCCTGGTACAGGGAACACCGACAGACCTAGGCGTGTGGTATTAGGATCATGTCTGCTCTTGGAACTCTTCTTGGAACAGCTCACCTGGGGCTTCCCTAGAGACTATGACATGCCACTGTCCCAAATATGCCTGGGATCTGCACCCCAGCCCATTCAGCCCCCAGAAACCTAGCTGACATTTCATAAATGAGGAGAGCTGGGCTCAGAGATGGGCAGGGACTGCAGCACCTCCTAGTGTCCCTCTGAGCCACCCCAGTCCAGACGCTCCACTCAACCTGCTGGAGTCTGATCTGAGCATCAGACAGAGTGTCCAGGGGATCAGCGTTGGCATGCCACCTCTAGAAGTGAGATTCCCGGCTCTATGACCTGTCCTGGGAAGAGTCCCTGACCACATTCTTCCCCACTCTGGGTTTACAAAGAAGCATCGAGGGGGACTAGATGGCTTCCCAGCTCATCTGTGTCCTGGGCAGCTGCAGGACCAAGGGCGAAATGGCAGGAGAGGCAGACCATGCCATCCATGTTGATCAGGTCAGGCCAGGTCCTGCCTGCCCTTAGGCCCCTCCTCGGGACAGCCATGCCTACTGCCCCACGTGTCTCACTTGCCCCTGCCCCCTCCTTTCTGCCTCTAAGCACAGGGCTTACTCGCTGTGAAGCACCTCCACCCTAGCCATCGCAAGGGGTCGGAGGCTGTAGGCCTCATACAGGTTCAGGCCTTGGAAACAAGCTCCAAACATAGGAGGCCAGTTGCAGTGTGCCTTCTTCAGCTGCAGAGAGAGACAGGTTGCCTCAAGGGCTGGGGGTAGTCACAGTGCTAACAGGGCAACTATGATACCGAGCGTTGGCCTGCCTGCCGTGCTGAGTGGCCTGGGCAGGAGCCGTGGTCCGCAGCGCAGCGACTGTCTGCGGCAGTTCCTGCCCGGCCTCCTTCCTCTGCTCTGCCGGCTGGCTGGAGCTGAGTGTTTGTTATTTGATTCCTATCCTCTCTCTTCTACCAGGTGTCTGGGCTGCTGGGAAGAAACACTCTCCTCTTTCCCACGCTCCCCAACACATTTTAATGAATTAGCTGGAAGCCCCGCCCCCCCACTGCCCACTGGCCTCCCTCCCCTGCTCAGTGCCTTTAAGGTGGCTGCAGGCCTGGCCCAGCTTTGGCCAGCTGCCCCGTCTGTGCTGTCCTCTTACGGCCTCTCAGATTGCCTGGACTACCCCACCTAGATTTCCCCAGCAGCGATTCCAGAATGTGGTACATGCTACCCCTCCACAACATCGCTTTCACAGCTGTCAACTGCTAAGCACCCATCTAAGGAAGAACTGGGGAGGGGCATCTGGAGGCAGAAGGGTGTCCTGTCCACTGTTGCCTTCTAGGAATGAGCAGATGTTGGTCAGGATGCTCCTGGACCAACATTCTTAGGATCATTCAGAGAATAAAGGTCAGGGTCCAGGATCACATCCAGAACTGGGTCTCCTTAAATCCCAAGCAAGCACCACAAAAACTGGAGCTTAATACTGGGTCACCCCGGACTTTCTGTGAGTCCCCTCCCGCCCTCCCTTCAATAACATGGAACAAATGTTCACCTTTTGGAAAGTGTCCTCCAGCAAACACATGGGCGGTGCTTACTAGAAACCAAGTGCCCCGGGGGCTTCCCCAAGCCCATCCTCGTAGGAGGCAACTACAGGAAGACAAGGGTGTGGGCCAGAGCACAGCCACGGTGAAGGAACTTGAGCCAGGAGGGGATCCTGTAGCCATCACCTAAGTCCCTCAGGAAGCTGGTCATAGGGCTCCCAATCAGTTGCAAAGAGGTGCCAGACCAAGTCCATGTCCTTTGAGCCTGACACAGGGCAGAGGTTCCTCAGGATAGACCTTCACCACGATAGGACTGCCACACCAGCCATGCTATTCTGCCAGAACTAGCTGAGCCGTCCAGCCCTCACCAGGGCTGCCGCTGATTTCACAGCCCCTGTGGTGGCGGCCTTGCGTTCCCACACTGAGCTCACACAGGGCCCCTTTGTCTGCCGCCTGCTGCGGATGTCAACAGGACTTTTCTCCCAGGCTCTGCACTGGGCAGGCATCTCAGATGCCCTTCCTCAGGCCAGGCTGAAGCCCACCTAAGCAGGGGCCCGTCTGGGGACCCATTCACCTTCAAGGGACTGCCCTGGGTTTGGCGAGAGTAAGGGCTCTGCTCACCCCAAGGTGTGGTCTCTGTCTCCTGCCTGTCCGATGCCCCCCAAGCCCTCTGCAGATGCAGGCAACCATGGGCCAACCAGGGAGAAGATCCTGCCCCCCTGACTGTTCCCAGAACTCCCTCTTTTCCATACCCATCTTGTTCTGAGTTAGGACACAGCCAGTATCAAGATACCCCCAACTAAGCCTCCATCTACCTGCACAGTGGAGAGAACCTTAAGGGTCCCCCTCAAGATCTTGGAACAGCGAGGCACAAGGTGGGGATAGGGGACCAAACGGGCAGAACCCGATAGACTGTGGCTCTCTGGAAGACCAGAGAGACCTCCAAGCTGCACATACAAGGGATTCAGGTTCCAAGGCTACCAGAGGGAGAATGCGGCCCTTAAACAAGTCAGCCAGGGTCAGGCCTGAAGGTAACTGGCCAAAGATGGACAGTCCCGGGAGGCATTTGCCTACTTTCTCAGTTTAGTTTAGCCATAGTTCCTCTCAGAACACAAAGTAGGGTTGGGGGCATGCCCTGAGTCTAGGGGTAGACGCACCCACCAAAAGAAGCTGCCCAGATGGAGCCCGGCAGGGTGGTCTCCTCAGCTGAGGCCTACAGCTGCCTGCTTGGAATTCCCAGCTAGGCTTCAGAAGAAATCAAGCCCTGGCGTGCCCTGCCTCCTGCTCTGTCAAGTCTGAAGATCATTCCTCCTTAATTTTCAGCAACCACAGCGAAGCTGTAAGCTGTAAAACATAATGAGGAAATGTGGAGCCTTGCCTCCCCAGCCAGTGCCAGCACCTCCTGCCTCCTGGTCAGTTGTTAAGAGCTGTCAATAAAACGTGGGGCTTACGGTTTGGAAATGAGTCATTTTCAGAACTCCCTTACAGGGCAGTGCTGTGCGCCGGCCGCACTAGGCAGGTCTCTGAACGTGCCAACGGGCTGAGCAGCAGCAGCACACAACTGGAGGAGTGGTGACAGGCTGCCCATCATGAGAGAGAGAGAAAGAGAGAGAGAGAGAGAGAGAGAGAGAGAGAGAGAGAGAGAGAGAGAGAGAGAGAGACAGACAGACAGACAGACAGACAGACAGAGCGCGAGCCTGTCCCAGCCTTCTGGAGAGGATGGAACCCCTACACTGGGATGATTGGGCATGGAGCTCCGGTCATCAGTGTGGATGGGGCCAAACACAAGAGTAGCCCGAGCTGCCTTGGGAAGTTACACTGGAGTAGAAAGGGCCAAAGTGGTGGAGGGCCACCCGTGAACGCCAGGTCCAGGCCCCGGAGTGGCTGAGTGAGGAACTCGCATTTCCCGAGATCTATGAAGAAAGAGGAAAGCTGCAGGAGGAGGTTATGCACCCGGGGCAAGCGAACCCAGGATGAGGCAGCAGCACTGGAAAAACCCTGTGGTCCGTCGCCGGACCACCCCGTCTGGGGCTGGCCGAGACCAGCGCCCCCTGTCGTGTACGGCTTAGCTGCACGACCCCGCCCCCGCCCCGCCCCCACGTGGGCACGGCCCAATCGAAAGTGCCCTAGTGTGCGCGTCAAGCGCGTCCATTGTTATGCAAATATAAGGACCGTAAAAGACGCCGGGAAGCGGCGGGCGAATTAGAACTGCTTTGCAAAGGGACGCAAGTGAAGTTCCGTGGAAGTTCAGCCTAACCCCGAAGGCACCACGATTGCAAGCGTCGCGGCCTCCGGCTGCTCCAGACCCTTGCGAACCAGCACCCAGCTCTGTCGCCCGCCCGCCTGGGCGTGGCTGGATGCGGCAGGGGTCCCGCGCCGTCGGCCCTCGGCCCCGAGCGCCCGGAGCGCGCAGGGGCAGCGTGCGGGGCCCGGGGGCGAAGCGCCCTCCATGCGCCGAGGCGTGCCTCGAGACACGCCCCGAGACAGCCCGGGGCCCGCATTGCAGCCGCCGCCCGCGCTGAGCCGGGGCGCGGCTCGCCGCTCTAGCTCTGCAGCAGCATGAGCCAAGCCGAGCTGTCCACCTGCTCGGCGCCGCAGACGCAGCGCATCTTCCAGGAAGCGGTGCGCAAGGGCAACACGCAGGAGCTGCAGTCGCTGCTGCAGAACATGACTAACTGCGAGTTCAACGTGAACTCGTTCGGGCCGGAGGGCCAGACGGCACTACACCAGTCAGTCATCGATGGCAACCTGGAGCTGGTGAAGCTGCTGGTCAAGTTCGGCGCGGACATCCGCCTAGCCAACCGCGACGGCTGGAGCGCGCTGCACATCGCCGCTTTCGGGGGCCACCAGGACATCGTGCTCTATCTCATCACCAAGGCCAAGTACGCGGCCAGCGGCCGGTGATACCCGCCCCGACCCCGGACCCTGACCTTCGCCCGCGTCTTCTCTGCTGTACCTTCCCGCCAACTACCTCGGTGTGCGCCAGGTTTGCTGGCCCGCGTGGAAATCGGGCTAGGTCTCCACGTCCGTGGCCCCTAGGGTTCGGCCCTCCGCCAGAGAGCTCCTCCCCTCGGCAGTCCTCGGAGCCTCGCGGGGCCCCAGAGCCTTCCCACGGCCCCCGACCGCCTCGAGGGTGGGGGCGGGGCGCAGGCTCCAGCCCATTTTGAAATTTGAGTCTCACACCGGGAGACTTCGGAATCCCGAGATACCGGATCCTCCGCTTGAAATGTTTTCTCCGGAAGGTGAAAGGCGCGGGCGGACTCGCGCTCCCGCCGCCGCCCGTGGGACCCGCCCGCCCGCCCGCACTGCGGCTCCTGCCGCTGGCGGCCGCCAAGCAGCCACTACCGGGCTCCCCCATCTGCGCGCCCTCGCGCGAGGAAGGGGACGCTCCCGGTTCCTGATGTCCTAAACTATTTATCACGTGTGTGTATATTTGTGGGTGAAGTTTGTGCGCCTGAGTTTTTTTTTGTTTGGAAATATTGTGCGTGGTTATGGGAGAAAGATGCATTTTTTTTTTCTTAAAACTAAAAACTTGAGTCTACCATTTCTTGGTTGCACTGAAAATACCGCCTAGCCCTATGGTTTTCCCATTTGCTACCCCTCCCCCACCAAGTCCCTGATCTTCCACACCTCTCTCCTCGGTTCCTCTCCCTGGATTCTGAGTGAGTTTAGGAAGCCCAGGATCTGTCTCCCTTCCCCCTCCCGTGAGAGATCACCATTCCCCACACCGGCTACTTTAGCAAAGTTCCAGTGGGACCTTGAAGCCCGCGTGGCTGGGACGTGGGGATTTTTGAGAGGATGTTACCCTTTCCTAGTGACTTCTATTATAGTTAATAGTCGGTTGCACACTTTTTTTTAAAAAGTAAATGAATTTGCCACGATTAAATGTCATAACATTTATGACAGAATATAAAATGTTAACATATTTTAAGCCAAGTCTTAGGTGTATTTTTGGAATCTTGGTTATAAACCCAATTTTAAAGGGCGTTGTATCCAGCGTTGTGAAGGCTGTTGTGTACCCATATTTATATTTTTATAAAATTCCTATAAAGACTGTGAATCTCTCATGCTATTGCTGAGTGAGTGCAAGGGCTGCGGTGCCCTTGCCCGGCCCGGCCCCAGGACCCCATTATGATCTGAGGATCCTGCCATGAGGGAAGGGCTGCGCCAAGGACCGGGGCTGGAGGAGGTGCTGGAGCGTCACTTGCTGTCCCTGAAAGGAGACTTCCTGGTTTCTGTGGTTCCACTTTTCTATGCAACCCCACACCCCTTGTTGTTTTGATCCTGGGAAATAAAAGGGAGGCTGAATTATTCAAATTTAAATGAGGTTTCCCCTTCGTCGAAGTGCTGCTGACCCTGCGTGCAGAAATGGGGAGCACTTGAGGACACAGGTGGGTGGAGCCTTTTGTGCCGCCTGGTCATATTCTTTGGTCCTTCTGCAGCTTTTATGAAGAACCAGTGTGGGAAGAATAGTGATAATGTCGCGAAACTGGCAGACATTGAGACAAGCACAGATTACTTCAAAAGGAGTTCTGTATGTTTTTTCTACATGCAAATGCCTTTTTAATTATGTTAATTAATGTTAAGACTTCCTAGGCCTATGTTGAAGCTTCAAATGGGTCCTGGTTTGGTCTCTTCTGTCTGTATGAAGTCTGTGGCACACTCCTGAGCGTACAATATAGACTTGTAGCCCAGCGTGAAAAATTTATAAATAAATTTTTCATTGATCTTTTTATATTAAAAAAAAATTGGTTCTTAGTTTTGGCACAAGTCATGGATACCCTCTATGGGGATGAAGGTTGGGCCACAGCATGTTATCTTCAACTAATGAATGATGGATGCTTGGCTTGTGAATCCAAAGACAGAGTTGGGTAAAATGGAAGCTCCGCCTAACTCAACTGTCAAGTCTAAGTCAACCTCAGGGTCATATGGGAACCCAGATAGATGCCAGCCTGTGCCTGGTGCTAGGAACACTGGCCACCTCGTGAGCTCCTGGAGCTGGTGTCTCAACTACTGCTAGTATTGACAGAGTGGCTGAGACCTCCCCAGGGAAATATCTGCTTATAGCTCTTCATCATTCCTACCCAGCCTGAGAGTTGAAATCCTGGAAGAACTTCTGCACAGGTAGGGTCACCTTAGATTTGGGGGAACATTCTGGTTGCTCCTGGGCAAGCAAAAGGCCTCTGGAGATTTTGGCTTCTGTGGAAGTCCCCACAGTCCAGGGCCAGCCACTCACCAGAAAGCAGATGAGTTAGGGCCAGGGTTCCCATGCATGTGATTTGAGAAAGTGCATACAGAGGAACATGGTCAGCCCACTCCTAGGATCCTGGGTGGGAGGCAGGGGAGGAGGTGCCTGATAGGTGAAGAACAGCAGCAGCCATCTGAAGAAGGAGCCATGACTTAAGTGGCCGTTCCTCTGACACAAACTCCAGGCAGCCATCAGTCCCTCCGAACACCTCTCAGGTTCCCACTCAAGGCCTTGATGTTTTCTCCCCGTCAATAGTAAGGTTATTAAACTTCCTGGGAGTGAGCCGAGGGTGATGCTGATACTCAGTAGAGGGACAGGATCTTCCTCAGGAAGTCCTGTCCTAAGAATTACTGATGTCACCCAGTAGTACCCACGTCTTCCCTCTGCTCCGCACTGTTCTGCATGGGAATGAGACGAGGCCAGAACTATGCTGCTGTTGCTGATGTCCATTTCCCTGGAGGACAGTGGCCAGTGGTTCTCCCAGCTCAGCAAACTGCCCACTGCGGTGGAGCTAGAAGGAATTGGCCGGCCATGTCTCTTAAGTTCCCACCCTCTCCTTGGACTGGTCCAAGTACTAACTTGGAGAGTGAGGAGGAGCGGTTCAACAAGAATCCTTGCCTTCGCAGCACCCTTAAAATTCTCCCACCTTAAAAGAGGCTCTAGGGTTGCCACCCCCTGAAGTTTTCAGTGGGGGTATAGCTGACAGACTGTGTTGCCCATTGAACGGAATGAAGCGAAGGAAAGATGGCCAAGCCAGGTGTGGTGGCACAGGCCTTTAATCCCAGCACTGGGGAAGCAGAGGCAGGCAGATTTCTGAGTTTGAGGCCAGCCTGGTCTACACAGCAAGTGCCAGGGCTACACAGAGAAGCCCTGTCGAGAGAGAGAGAGAGAGAGAGAGAGAGAGAGAGAGAGATGGCCAAGGGTGGAGACCTAGTGGAACCCATTGTCTTTATCCTTATCCTCAGAGGAAGGCACTGTGGGCTACGTTTAAGACACAAGTCTCCTTCACAATGCAGCACTCTAGAAGGTAGGCAGACACACTCTAAAATCATAGTCCTTCCCCCTGGTGGGGCCAGAAGTATGAAGAGAATTCCGGCTTGTAAGGTCCAAGAGTCCCCAGACAAAAGTACAGGTGCACATAGCTGGTCATCTTGGCTTAAAGGGGACCACGGGCAGCATTTTGAGTGATGTACAGCAGTAATGTAATTACAGTAATGTACAGCAGGATGACAATGTACAGAGCAGGTTGGGATTTAGCTGAAGTCCTGAGGTCAGGAAGGACCAGGAAGGCTCAGCAAGAGGAGTGTGGCCTAGAGCATGGATCCTGTGACGGCACATTGTGGGGTGGGAGCAGACATAAGTCTCTGCTTCCTAGACGTGACCAGGTTACAGTTGCCATGTCTCTGGTGCCCATTTCCATGGAATACAGTGGCCAGTGATCTTTTCAGCACCACATGCCCAGTACAGTGGAGCTGGCCATGGAATTGGCTAGCCAACTCTCCCCAAGATGGTCCAGGTTAGGGCAGGTGAAAAGAAGCCGTAGGTGACCCAGGTCCTCCTCTGTCCTGACCTTCCAGAGCTGTAGATGTACCTGTCACCAGGTGAGGGTACAGGCCAAAAGGCATTGAGAGGACCCAGAGAAGGATTGTACACCAGAAGAAGCCCTGGGAAACCCTGAAGGAAGGAAGGACACACACAGAATGGTAAGGTCAAGGCCTGCCCCCTGTTCTCAGGAGGGTGCTTGGTTCCTATCCATCTCTGATCTGACTCATTACATAGAAGACATTTATTGCCAGAAATGCAGAAATATCATCAACTCGGAAAAGTGGTGCCCAAACCCACAGGTGGAAACCGGGACACATAGCAGGCCAGTAAAGGGAACGAGAAGGGGTTATAGGGCAGGCAGTCTGTCCCCAGAGGCCTGGTAGCTCATCACAAGAAAGGACCGAGGAGGCGTGCACCACAGATGAAGGGACAGCCACCCTTTGACCTGGGGAGGCCAGCTGTCTCCTGGTGCTCCCACGAAACCTGAGGGGAAGAGGCGACATCCATAGGCCTGGAAGGACGGGAAAGGAGGCCCTGTGCCTGGAACTGCTGAGGAACAAAGCCCAAGGCCTCAGTATAAGGGCTTAGACCATAGGAGGGGCCGTCGAAGGTCTGGGAACCTCAGCAACTGCTCCTTCTGAGGCCTTGGCAAGACCCTCCTGGGGCTCTAGGGTCCCTGGAGGCCGCCCTCCCCCACCGCCTCACCCCCGCCCCGGTGCGGCGCATTCTTCTGGTTGGCTGTCCTTCCGACAGTCCCCTGCGCGTCCGTCTGTCGGTCTTTCTTCTCTCGCCTGCACCAAAGCCGAGGCCCTATTCATTCCCGAGGCCTCTGCCCTCTCCTGAGCTGGTCCCCGCTCGGCGAGCAGCTGCTATGCTAATGAGGGCGGCGGCGGGTAGGGCGGGCAGGCACTCACAAAGGCAGAGTCTTTACATTCAAAGCCAGCGGGGCCGTCCCTGCGAGCGCGCCAGGCTCGGCGGCGGGGAGCGGCGCCCTCGGGCGCACCGGCTGCCCCGGCACCCACTGCCGGGCACGGTGTGAGGGCAGAGACCAGCTGTCGTCTGCTCGAGGTCACAGCCTGGGACCCGCAGCCCCTTAGAAGGACCTGCCTGCGCCCTCCAGACGCCCCTTAGTGGCTTGGGGACGCTCGGTGCACGTGTGCATGGCTAGTAGACACCAATGGTGACACTGCCGCCCTGCACAGGACAAGGAGGTTGGATAAGACCCAAGTAGAGTCTGAGAACCCTGGTCCAAACAGGAGCAGAGATCTCCGGTCACCTCACGCGAGCTGGCGGGGTTCCCCTTCGGCCCGGAGGGACAGGGATGGGGGGCTGTGGGGGGTTGTAGCACAAGCCTGACTCTCTGGATCTCGGACGTGTCTGGTCCAGCCGGGACCTCCCCCAGCCTCTGATGATCACGGCCCTTCCTGTCGAACAACTTTGTACAGGAGTTCAGGAGCGTGAAGCGGGGTAGGGGGAAAGCGGTGGAAGCTGGGGAAGGGGCGGTTGCGGCTGGCCTACGAGACTATGCTGCCGCCCTGTGGCCGCGGCCCGCACTGCGGTCCCCGCCAAGAGCACCAGGTGTGGCCGGGTCAGAGCACCCTGTTACCTCGCACTCCAACCTCCATCCATGGGAGGCAGGCGGAGAAGGTTAGGTGAAGTGCTTAGGTCACGAAAGAGAAGATCTGTCACCGCACAGGTCGGAAAGGCCTGAGAAACTGGGGCCCTGCCCCAGGGTTTGGGGGCCCGACGGGGCAGGTTATGGGACAGAGGGCAAGTTCTCAGGAACAGGTGACAGATACCAGAACCAGACAGGCCAACTGACTAGGCATCCTGGGCTACAGCAATGGGAGATGGCTTTAGTGTATGACAAGCAGGCTGGATGGAGAGAAAGAAATAAGGAAGGACCAGAGAGAGACAGCCCATCAGACCTTGTCAGTGTTGCTGAAGTTGGAAGACTGCTCATTTGTGGGATGCTCAGGTAAGCAAATGGATCAGAAGGTGGAGCACTTGGTGGAAGAGCAGCCAAGGACGTATCACTACACGATCGAGGCCCCAGGACCACTCCTGCAGTCCCTAGGATACCCAACCAAGTCTGGAGTGGTGACCCTCACCAAGCTGTTGGCCTGATGATGTACTGTCTTGACCAAATGTAAAATAGAGTATATTCCAAGGCCCAAGACTTCAAAGATGGTTAGCAGAACACAGATGTAGCCCTGCACACAAGGGCCACACTTCTAAGGACTTACAGGACACTCAAAATGATCATTAGGATGGGTTAGAAGGTGCCTCTGGGTCTAGAGCCTGGGGCCTTGGCAGGGAGCCATGTGGGCAAGACCCCTGTGGGCCCAGTGGCGGCTGGCGCTAGCGTGCTGCCTGCTGCCTGCTACCCTTATAAATCCTAAACCTCTGAAACCATAAGCCAATCAAATGCTTTGCTTATTTGCTTGCTTGCTTGCTTTTGTTTTTGTTTTGTTTTGGGGGGTGTTTTTTGTTTGTTTGTTTGTTTTTGTTTTTGTTTTGTTTTTGAGACAGGGTTTCTCAGTGTAGCCCTGGCTGTCCTGGAACTCAATCTGTAGAACAGGTAGTCCTTGAACTCACAGAGATCTGCCTGCCCCTGCCTCCCAAATTCTGGGATTAGAGGCGTAAGCCACCGCTGCAGCTGCTGTCACCACTACCACCCTACTGAAACAGCATTTTTAAAAGTTAAAGAAAGAGACCAGGCGGTGGTAGCGCATGCCTTTAGTTCCAGCACTCGGGACGCAGAGGTAGGCCGATCTCTGTGAGTTTGAGGCCAGCCTGGTCTGCAGAATAAGTTCCAGGACAGTCAGGGCTATTACGTAGAGAAACCCTGTCTTGAAAAGCCAAAGGAAAAAAAAAGTTTAAAAGTTAAAGAAAGAGAAGGAAAAATGATTTTACAGGACTGGATGACTTCGTGGCTAAGAGCAAGTACTGTTCTTGCAAAGGGCCCTGGTTCAGTTCCCAGCACCCATGTCTGGCCACTCACAGAGCCTGGAATTCCAGCTCCAAAAGATCCAACATCCTCTTCTGGCCTCTAGGACACCAACACTCACATAAGCATAATGTAAAATGATCTTTTAAAAAACAGGGATTGGGCCCAGTGATGATGGTGTGTGCCTTAAATTCTAGCTCTTGGTAGGCAGAGGTAGGAGGATCTCTATGAGTTTTTTGTTTTTTGTTTTGTTGTTTTTCAAGACAGGGTTTCTCTGTGTAGCTTTGCGCCTTTCCTGGATCTCGCTCTGTAGACCAGGCTGGCCTTGAATTCACAAAGATCCGCCTGCCTCTGCCTCCCAAGTGCTGGGATTAAAGGCGTGCGCCACCACTGCCCAGCTGTTCTCTATGAGTTTGAGGCCAGCCTGGTCTACAAAGTGAGTTCTAGGACAGCCAGGGCTGTTACACAGAGAAACCCTGTCTCAAAAAATAAAAAAATACAAAAAGGGGGGCGGATTGGAGAGATGGCTCAGAGGTTAAGAGTACTGACGCTCTTCCAGAGGTCCTGAGTTCAATTCCCAGTACCCACATGGCAGCTCACAACCATCTGTAATGAGATCTGGTGCCCTCTTCTGACATGCAGGCAGAACACTTTGTACATAATAAATAAGATTTAAAAGAAAGAAAGAAAGAAAGAAAGAAAGAAAGAAAGAAAGAAAGAAAGAAAGAAAGAAAGAAAGAAAGAACACCGGCTTCTCTTGTAGAGGACCAGAGTCCAATTCCTAACGCCAACATGGAGGCTCACAATTGTCTGTAACTCCAGTTCTGAAAATCTGATTCCCTCTTCCGACACCAGTATGCACCAGACATGCATGTGGTGCACAGACATATATCCAGACAAAACACCCATATACATAAAATAAATAAACAAAACTTTAAAATAATAATAATAATCAACCTTTAAAAGGATTTTACAAAAGCTAATGTTTTGCCAGAAAGGAATAGCGTTCGTTCCCTTGATGGGCCTCATCAAAGCCTAGTTATCTCTACCTTCATCCCTGTCCTTAGCTATCCTGTTGTCGTGAGGATGCTATGTCAGAAACACGGATGTTCACTTCTGCGCCTTTCTACAATGTCAGAGTTCATTGGATAAAAATAACTAGATCAGTTTCGGGGTTGGAGAGATGGCTCAGCAGTTAAGAGCACTGGCTGCTCTTCCAGAGGTCCTGAGTTCAATTCCCAGCAACCACATGGTGGCTCACAACCATCTGCAATGAGATCTGGTGCCCTCTTCTGGCATGTAGATAAATAAATTTAAAAAACAAAAACAAAAAAAACCAACTAAGTCAGTTGCTGTAGCTGCAGTTGGCCAGGTAGTCCTGACTTCCCTGACAGTTGGCCATTGGCAAACACAGGTTTTCTGTTCCAGTTTTAATGACCAATATTAATCTCAGATCACACATTATACATCACACGGTAATTATATCTGTGTACAAATATAGGTCATAGAGAGGCCACAAGAAGGATAAAAGGGGCTGCATCAGAATTCAAGGTGTTCAGGGATGTCTTATTAGACACAGAGGCACAAATCTGGTAACCAAGAAAATCTCTAAGTCAGAGGGCAGCTGGTGGGGACACCACCACAAATCCAAGCCCAGGGTGATACTCTTGAGCCCAGACCCAGGGTTGGTCAGACCTTCAGAGGCAAGGTACAGGGCTAGGTTGAATGGATGATAGACAGATGGCAATTTGAGTCAGCAGTGGGGACCCTGAACCAAAGCTCAAAGACAGACTGGAGTTCCTTTACCCACTGGGTGTTCAAATGATGGGCCAAGTGGGGCTCTTGTGGTGTGGTGCAAGTGTCCTCCTCTTTCTGTGATCCAGCGGAAGGTGGTGCGCCTTTCCTTAATCTGGCTGTATTCACTAATGTGGGAGCCTCGTGTTTCTGATGAGGTTTTAACACATGTATGTGTTCATATGGCACTTCCTTTCTTGGAGGCTTATTTATCAGTGTGTGCCCCATGGGTACTGCTGGACAGGTGGTGGCATCTCTGCGTGCACAGGGAAGTGCAGAGTCATCCTGTCTCTAATTTCTCAAAATGGAGCCAAATTCTGATTTGTAAAATGAAAGAACCCAAGGCAAGGCACAGCCTAGAAGCCAGTTTGATAATTACGGAATGACTTAGAACCAAACGCAGCCTGATATCAAAACCTTACGTGTGTTATTTCAGATTCTCAGGAATCTGTCATTGTTTACACTTCTAAGATTAATGTGTTACCAAGGACAAAGGATGACACCTAAATCTGATGAGGTATGTTTCTACCCTCCAGGTTTTCGGGTCAAGGTCAAAGAACAGGTTTTGAAGACAAAGACTTTTGCCCAGGGCTGGAATTATCTATCCATCACACCCACCAACATTCTGAGACCTATCCATTTTGGAAAATGGGAATTTTTTTTCCTTCGTGATGGATATGCTTACTCCACTTTCCCAAACCTAGAGTTGAATAACACTATTTCCTCCGCCAACTTCTGTCTCCTGGTCTGCTGTGGTAAAGGCTACACACAGCGGCTTGAGTGAGAACAGCCCCTATAGACTCATATGTGTGAGTACCGGTCCCCAGTTGGTATAACTGTTTGGAAAGGATTGGATGTGACCTTGTTGAAGGTGTGTCAACAGGGCTTTGAGGTTTCAAAAGACTGAGGCCACTTGGAGCTAATTCTCTCTGCTTCCTGCTTCTGGATCATAGGAGGATCAGTACAAATTGAGAGCTTGAGGTGAGCCTGGTCTACAAAGAGTTCAAGGCAAGCCTGGGCTATATAGCAAGATCCTGTCTCCAAAACAAAAAGAGAAAACATGAAGGAATGTGAGTTCTGGGTCAGCTAGGTTCTCATAGTAAGTCTGTCTCAAAATAATAAAAACATTAAAAAACTAGTTATTTATGGACTTCCTGCACAGCTCTGCTGGCTGAGCTATGAGGCTCGGCTTCCTATTACACTTCCCTCTCCAGAAGTTCTCAAATATTGAAACATAAGAAAATCATTTGACCAGCATGGTGGTACACAAGTTAATTTCAGCGTTTAGGGGGTTCACAAGTTCAAGGTGAGCCTGGGCTACAAGTTTGAAACCCTGTCTGAAAACAAGAATTATCATTTGGTGGAGGGAGGGCGGGTTTGGGGAGTTTTGAGACAGAGTTTCTCTGTGTAGCCCTGGCTGTCCTAGGAACTGAATCTGTAGATCAGGCTGGCTTTGAACTTAGAGGTCTGCCTGCATCTGTCTCCTGAGTGCTGGGACTAAGGGTATGCACTACCATGCTCATCTCCAAACCCAGGAATTATTGAATAGAGGCTGTAGAGAGATTAGTTGGTGGATTTACCATTGACAGGTTTCAGTACGTCTTTCTCGATTCATAGGTGAAGCAAACAAAACCAGAAGAAGCCCATGGACTGTTAGATTTGAGCTGCAGTTTATTCACAAGCACGATACAACCTGCTCAGTGTTGGGGGTACAGGCCTCTTAAGACCAGAACTTGGCCTCGATGCAATTATCTTATAAATGTACTGTTTTATAAATAAATAAAAAGAAAACTCTGTGTGGGTTTGGATCCTCACTAAATCAATGCTCTGCAGATGTTAAGTGAGTGAGTACAAGCAACACTGGGCCAGGCAGGAGACACCTCCAGGTGGGTTTTCAAGTAACAATCCTGGGGGCCTTCTTGGGGAGTGCTGAGGACCCCAGCATCATTCTGCAAGGACTGGCCAGCACCCCCACTCAGCAGGTCATACACAAATACCCCTTGAAGCATCAATACAAACTCCTGAAAGCAGAGCAAGAGTCCTGACCCTCCCTGTAGCTAAGCAGGTGAACTAAGGTGGATGGTGAAGCTCTTGGATTCCCAGGTCTGGCTATCCTACCCTCTGCATCCCGCTGCAACCCTGGCCCAACCTTCCAACCTCAGGAAGACCTCAGAGCAGGAAGGAGTCCTGGGGCCTGAGGAAGGATGTGCTGGTCACCTCCCAGGCATAAGACCCGTGTGCAGGGCTCCACAGGTGGGGGTGTCCATCCCCAGAGTCCTCCTGGTCCCTGCATCACACAGCTCCTCAGACCACAGCTGGAGCAAGTTGAATGGGAGACAAGAAGCGTGCAGGTTGCTCAGGGTGCCGGCTTGTGATCGAGGGAAACCTGAGCTTGGATGGTTTCCCAGCAGGTCTCCCCAGGGTGGGGAGGGCACATCACCCCCCTAGGGGGGTTCCTCCTCTCTAATCTCTTCTAGTATCATCCCTTGCTGTACCCTCAAGCCCCACTTTTGGATGTGCCCCTTTCTAACTCACAATGATGGTCACTCACAGGCAAGGGCTGGGTGCAGCCACCAGGAGGCAGCACAGAAGTTGCCAGAACACCAAGGAGCCTCCTACCAAGAACATTCCACAGCACCTTGCTCTGGCGCATGTGCAGATGGAGTTGAGAGGGCTGAACCTGGGACACCAAAAGCTGTAACTGTGGTAACCAGACAGTGACACTGTCCAGGAAAAGAGGCCTCGACTCCTGTGGTCACCCTGTGGGTCCAGCCAAGTGCCTGAGCTGTTCCCCACCCGACTCCACTGGGCCTTGTGCACGCCTGGTGCTTCCTGCAAACAGAAGCGTCAAGGCCCTGTTCACTTCACTGCTGCCATGGTTTGCTGTGGACTCCAGTGCTGGCACTCCAGAGCTGGTGGCAGGAAAGGGCCAGGTGGAGGGAGTGTGTCCCTCAGCAGTAGGACAGGCTCTAGTGACCCTTTCTAGGGAAACCTGAGCTTGGGTGGTTTCCCAGCAGGTGTCCCCAGGGTGGGTCAGGACACATCACCACTCTGGTTCCTCCTTTCTAAGCTCTTCTGGTGAGTAGGACCCTGAACCTTGTTCCAAGGTCACCGTCCATGTCTGTCTTTGGAGCAAACAGGTAGCCAGTCTCAAGAGTCTGGGTCTCCACTTAGGTCCACATTCAGCCAAGTCCATGCTCCACGACATTTGAGGGATTCCACTGGATCTGCTCACTGGCTTGCAGACATCTATCCACCCCACTGCCTTCTCAGGAGGGCCTGGAGAAGCCTTCCCCACCTTGTGGCCTCTAAGCTAAGGAGGCATTCGAGGGGTAACTGAGTGCTTGTGAGAAGCACTCATGGGGACAACCACATGTTCCAGCAGGACCAGGTTCCCACTACAGGTACTCACCCTCTGCGATAATCTGTACCATGAGTGAATACGCCCACTTCCTAGGGTTATGGGAGGCCCTATCACATGTTCTGGGACACGATGGACATAGTGGGAGCTGAGGAGGGGGGGGACCAGACTACAGATAGGAAAGTGGCCGCTTTCCTGGTGACCCGAGGGAATCTCAAGGCTCAGGGGTGGAAGAGGAAGTGGGGAGCTCAGCGCTCAGCCTCTCTGGCTCCTGGGGTGAACCAGCTTGGGGGCCACAAATCACCTGATATTCTTCCTGTTTTCAACAGCTCAAAGGCCTGGGGCCACTGGCTAGTGTCCACCACGTGCAGGCTTGTGCTGCAGGAGGTTGACTTTAGCTACGACCTGCTTGCAGCCAGTGACGGCAAATTCATGTCCAGCAACATGGTAGTAGTTGAGCTGCTCTGCCAGATGCTCTGCCAGCGCCTGCTCGGGAAAAAAACCCTCCCCTGCCATCTCCTCTCGGAAGCAGTTGACCACATCTGGCTTGTCTAGCAGCAGGAAGGGCACGATGGCTGCAGTGTGCCACAGAGGGTGCTCTCGGGCCAGGAGCTCCCGGAGGCTGGTGTGTAACTCCTCCTCGGCCCGCGACACCTCAGCCTGAGTGCTGCCTGCACTGTGGAGGTGTGGGGGCAACATGCGTGATGCGTTCTGCAGCACGAAGTGTGTGATCTCTACACCACCAGCGCCACTTAGGAGTACATAGATAGCGTTGTGGAAATGGTGCGAGCGCTGCGGCTGCAGGAAGCCGTGCAGCTCATCCAGAAGAGCAGACGGCAAGAGTTCAGCCTCATCCAGGACCAAGAGAGGGGTCTTCTCCTCGGCCTCAGCCTGCGCCACCACATCTGCCACACGCTGTGCCAGCTCCTTCCGGCAGTCCTGAACGGGGCGCAGCTCTGGACAGTGATGTCGTGCGTGGTACTGCAGTACCAACGCGCCATCCTCCAGCACTGAGTGGAAGTGGCGTGCCAGCAGGCGCCCCACGTGACTCTTGCCTACACCACTGGGCCCATGCAGAGCCAGGAGCAAAGGATGACTGTGCACGTGTGTAGCCAGGTAGTCCCGCAGCAAGGCCATGATGCGGCCCACAGCAGCTGGCTGGCCAAACACAGAACGCCGCAGCGCCTTCTCCAGCCCATCGAGGTCATAACGTTGTGCATTATCGTCCAGATTCTCAATGGCGTTAAGAACTTGGAACCCCACAATGGCTACGAGCAGCAGCAGACAACGCTGTGCACGGCTCTTGCGCTCTGTGCGGGGTCGGTACTTCCGTGAGGTTTCAGGGTAGAGCACTACCCGACTACGCCTACGCCTCTTGCGGGGTGTCCTGGAAGACAACTCCGTCAGGCTGTCGAACGTGAAGAATTTAGGTTGGTCTAGGTCCGCACGCAGAGTCCCGGAGCTGCCGCTGGGCCGGAGTGCCCCTGTCCCAGCGTCGGGTTCAGTGCCTGGCTGCAAGAGGCGCCTCTTGCGCAGGACGCAGACGCGGCGGCGCAGACGTAGCACAGCGCGCACCGGCGCGATTACGCATGGGCCCTTGGCCTGGGGCTCTAGGCTAGGTTGGCCGCGATCCATGGCGTAGGAGCTTGTACTGGGCATGCAGGTCCCCTCCCTGCAATAGGAAAACGGGAGGATCTCCTGAGGCCCTGATCTTAACCTCTGGGGGTTCCTTAAAGTACTTTACGGCCAGAAATTGGCTCCGCCTCGCCTCGCCCCAGTGACCAGGAAGCCACTGCTCAGCAGGAGGGCCCCAATGCATGCAAATCTCTTGAGTCCTCTCAGAAAAGGCCCTGGCCTTGAGGAAGTGCGGGGGTGGGGTGGGGGGGTGTTGTATAATTTATCAGGCTGCTGACTTCCCTCTGGGAGGAAGAAGTAGAGGATTCGGAGTCACACAGTCACCGATTAGGGGTGTAGAGAAGTTAAACTGGACCCTGCACCACCCCCCAGCACGATGTCAAAGGCCTTACAGGTCCCAAGTAGGCCCCTTGGACCAGAGGACTCGGTACCCCTAAGAGCTGTGACTGTCCCCATACTCAGGGGCAGTTGGTGGAAAGGAATGTGCAGACCAAACTTTCATGTTTTTGACAATGGACCCTAGCACTATTCCCAATCACAACCTAGCCCTTTCAACCCCACTCCCATCCCCAGTCCCCACTCATGACCAAATCGGGGGTCCCTCAACATCCTCCCAGTGAACACAACAGAGCAGAAAAATGAACAAAAGGAAGAGCCAGGGAAAGGTGAAGCCCTGACTCTGAGGAGGCTGGCCTGAACCTCTCCATCTCATCCCCCCCTACCTGCAGCTGCTCAGGCTCCCCAGCTCAGCCACTCCCTTCCAAGGCCAGGAAGCAGGAAATGCTAGTCTTCCCCACAAAAGGTGAGGTGGGTGGGTCAGGGTCCGCCTGGCCCTGCTCGGGCTTGAAAGGGGCAGTGACTCCTGCAGGTCCCCGGGGACCGCAGCAGAGGAAGCTCTGGGGAGGCTTCCGCTGAGATGCGAAGGAAGTGAGTCAGGGGTGCCGGCAGGCGGAGCTTGGGCTGAATGTTTGAGCGGGTGGGGGAGGCCTGGCTGACCGGCCTAGAACCCCTAATCCACAGTTCACCCACTCTTGGTCGGTGTGGCTCTGCGGGGACATAGGGAGGGAGGGGCCCTTCCAGCCGCTCTTCCTGCAGGTCCCCTGGGCTCTTCAAAGTTCAGTCTGCCCTCTACTGACCCTGCCTCTGCCAGGAGAGTCCTTCCCCGGACCCAGCAAAACTAAGGGACCCTAGAGACCCTACGAATGCTCTCAGCTGACTGTAAACCAGTAGAAAGCAGACCATTTGCCCAGCAGGGTGCCTCCTAATCCTTCTTTTCCTCTCTGCTTCTTTTCCTTCTCCTACTCCACCACCTCACCGCCACCCCTTTGCCACTAGGCTAGACCTCTCAGAAGGCAGGACAGGAGAGACAAGTTCTAGAGCTAGGGATAGAACGCCACTGGTGGCTCAGAGTCCTTTGTGCCGAGGGAGGTGCACATTGAGGAACGTCCTTGGGCCAAGAATTGGAAGACAGAAGCTTCGAGCTTTTCGGGGCAACCTGCTTGCATGTAGCCCTGCCCACCTCCCTGTCCCTATCTGCAGGAAGGGGCCTGCCTGGATGGCCCCAGACTCCTCCCATTCTGAGAGGGAGCTGGTTGCTTCCTTGGCCAGCCTGGAATTCCTGAACTTTCCAGAACTCTCACAAAATTCAAAGACTGGCCAGGGTGGACAAGTGGGTTTCCAGACCCCTCTAGACAGTTCAGCCTCGCCCATGATCCACCACCCATCTGTACTTCCCAGACCGTGTGAAATATCCTTCCTTGCAGGCGGCTGGTTGACCAGGCCCCGGAGGGGGAGGGGGAGGGGGAGGGGCTCTTAGGAACCTCCATTCTCTGGTATGTAAGACTTTTCTGACCGGAAGGACAATGGGCCCTGAGGCAGCTGACCAGGCTCTGAAGGAAAGAGACAGGGCCTAATGGGCCTTATGTTGGCCAGTCACTTTTGCAAGAGGTTCATCTGTCAGACTCTGGGGTCGAGTCCCATTCTGGGGTAAGGAAAAGATCTGCTAAAGAGAAGTGTCACATTCAAGGAACTCATGTCCCATAGTTAATCTTTGCAGGGATAAGGCCTTCCTAGACAGAAGACCCTCAAGCCCGACTGCCCACTCCCTTGTCCAAACCAAGTGTAAAGTCCAACCTCACTAGCCCCAACCCAGATCCCCTTCACCCACCAGGCCCTTGCCCTCCACACCTTTTTTTTGGTTTTGGTTTTTGTTTGTTTGTTTGTTTGTTTGTTTTTTGAGACAGGGTTTCTCTGTGTAGCCCTGGCTAACCTGAGATCTGCCTGCCTCTGCCTCCCGAGTGCTGGGATTACAGGTGTGAACTACCACGGCCTGGCCCTCCACAGCTCCTTGAAGGCACATTTGACCCACACTAGGAGTCTAGCCACACTGATCATTTTGTCTATCCTGAACCTCAGCCTCTAGCAGCTCTTCACTCTGCCCAATGACCTCACCAAGCAAACAGCCCACACGTAGCTTCTCTGTCCATGGCCCCACTCACCATTCTGAGCACATGGAAACAGCCCCAAGAGCCCTAGTATCTGGACCTCACAGCCTGCCCCTTCTGAAATGTCTGTGCTATGTAAGTAACAGCTACCTGAATCTGACACCCCACAAACCCCCAGTATCGTAAGTATTTTCCTACTGGATCATTGCCATCACCCCAAGCCATGTTTCTTCCATTTTTAAAATAATCAAGCAGGCCAGGCCCAGTGGAGTACATCTTTTATCTCAGCACTTGGGAAGCAGAAGTGGGTGGGTCTGTGAGTATGAGGCCAGCCTGGTCTACATAGCAAGTTCCAGGACAACCAGGGCTACATGGAGACCTGTCTCAACAAACCAAATAAGCCAGGCAGTGGTGGCATACACTTTTAATACTAGCATTTGGTAGGCAGAAGCAGGCGGATCTCTGTGAGTTTGAGGCCAGCCTGATCTACAGAGTGAGTTCCAGGACAGCCAGGGCTACACGGAGAAATCCTGTCTCCAAAACAAAACAAACAGAAAATCCAAATAATAAATGAAGGAATTCAGCAGCACTTTCCCCAACTGAAGGCCTGCATCTATGACTTGTGAGCTCTACTCAGCTGGAAACTTAGCAGTGTTCCTGTGGTCCCACAGTGATGTGGCTGTGGTGTCATGTGAAGCCGCCCCTAGGCCCCCAATCAGAGGGGGTGGAAGGCTGAAAATTCAATCAGCTGTGGTGTACCTCCAAGATGGGTGGTTAGGACCAAATGAGGTTATGGGACTAGCACCCTGAGTCAGTCCCATGGCTTTGAAAAGAGAATACACACACACACACACACACATACACTGTGAGGTACCCTTTGCCTCAGGCCTCTCTCCCGGAAAGATGCTATCATCAAATGCACCCTGGACTTTGGACCGGGCTCTGGAGCCAAAATAAACACACTTCCTTTATGACTCATCTTGCCTATAGTGTTACAACAGAAAATTGAACTGATACTACCCCACCCCCTCCTCAGCTTCAGGGATAGCTGCCTGCCCCTCCCCCACCTGGTGACAGCCAGGGAACACACCATTCACTCACACCTGGGAAAAGCTAGGCACAGCCAGGATCAGCCAGGGAACACACCATTCATTCACACCTGGGAAAAGCCAGGCACAGACTAAAGGCCCTGCAACCACCGGCCAGGGAACACACCATTCATTCACACCTGGGAAAAGCCAGGCACAGACTAAGGGCCCTGTGACCACCGGCCAGGGAACACACCATTCACTCACACCTGGGAAAAGCTAGGCACAGCCAGGCTCAGCCAGGGAACACACCATTCACTCACACCTGGGAAAAGCTAGGCACAGACTAAGGGCCCTGCGACCACCGGCACCTGCCTGACCCCATCACAGCCAGGGGGGCTTTTATTATGCCTCAGAGAGCTGTCTGGCTCAGCCATCCTCTGGTGTTTCATGTCCTGAAGGGAACAGTAATGCCCAGTGCCTGGCTGGACCTTCCCTAGCCTTCTAGGGGATAACTAAGCTGCCATATGGCTGTAAAGTCTGATGTTCAGAATCACTCTAGGACTCTGCTTGGTCCTCCTAGGGATTCCTACTCTCGTTTGGAAAGGCATGAAAGACTGCACACCTAGATATCGGGGCAGAGATCAAGGCCTTCTGAGAGGCCTGAGATCTTCCAGCAGCTGGGCCCTACACCAGGTCACTCAGAGCAGGGTTGCCAGGCACAGAGGCCAAAGCATTGACTCTCCAGAAGAAGGCTGCACCTTCCAGGTGTGGTGGCATACACCGTTAGTCCCAGGCAGGCGGATCTCTGTGAGCTGAAGGCCAGCCTAGTCTACAAAGCAAGTTCCAGAACAGTCCCAGCGGTCACACAGAGCAACAAAAACAAAAAAGGAAAGAAAGGAGGTTGCATTCACCCGTTCTCAGCCCCAGGACACACAGAGTCCTTTCACCATGGATTTATCAAAATGTGTTTTATTTACATAAGTGGAAACTTCGGCGTGTACACCCATAGTCCCCTACTCAAGGGCCAGAACACGTAGCTGGGCAAGGATTTGGTTTGTCACCAAGGCACACACTGAGGTGGGAACTGCAGGGAAGGGAGGGCTCTGCCTACAGATCTCAGTCAGCAAGGACTGTGCCTGACACCATCGGCCTCAGGCTTCTGCAGACTTTCCACCTGGCTTCTGTGGAGGGGACCACTCCTGCGCTTGAGAGATCAGGCCCAGCAAACCTGCTTTGGCAAACCCAGTATACCCTTCTCCTTGGGCTTTGTCCAGACTGAATATCAGGTCAGTCAGGCCTCTGCCCATTGCCCTTGGAAAACTAACTGGCTTTTTTTTTTTTTTTTTTTACTACCAACCACCATCCATCTCTGCCAGGGTCAAGCAGGGGCCAAGTCCCATCATGCCATCATGGGCCTCCCTTGGTGTTCCAGTACACCACTGTGGACCTCTTAGAACCAGTTCTAGGCAGCAACTCAGAGGAGGGAGTACCTTGCCAAGGGACAGCCCTCAGCTCCCCCTGTGCTCCTAGCTGACTAGGGCCTCCTTCCATAGGGGCACTACCACTAAACAGTCTCACAGAGCCTCAGAGCGGAGCTGGAGCAGGCACATTGGGAAGAGGCAGCTCCAGCGCTGGTGTCTCTGCAGCTTGGGTAGGACTGGGCTTCCGATGGTCCAACTGCTCCAACTTCTCACCAAGCTGAGAGTAGAGCTCCTTCACGGCCTCCCCACTCTGTGAGAAAACCAGACATGGGCACTGTGGTGGTTTGAAAGAAAATGGCCCCCAAAGGGAGTGGCACTATTAGGAGGTGTGGCTTTGATGGAGTAGGTGTGGCCTTGTTGGAGGAAGTGTGTCTGCTGTGGGATAATCCTCTTGTACACTGTAAAGATTTGTCACTCGAATTAGTTTAATAAAATGCTGATTGGCCAGTGGCCAGGCAGGAAGTATAGGCAGGGCAACCAAACTAAGGATGCTGGGAAGGAGAAGGGCATAGTCAGGAGCTGTCAGCAGATGCAGAGAGAACAGGAATGAACATGCCATCCTAGTAAAGGTACTGCCACATGGCAGAGTGTAAGTAAGGAATATGGGTTAACTTAAAATGTAATATCTAAGGTGGTCGGGACAAGAAACGTCCGTTTGCATGTGTCACTGTGGGGATGGGCTTTGAGGTCTCATATATACTCAAGCCATGCCCATTAAAACAGACTACTTCCTATTGTCTGCAAGTCAAGATGTAGGACACTCAGCTACTTCTCCAGCACCACATCTGCCTGCTGCCACCATGTCGCACCATAATGGACTAAACATGTGAAAATGTAAGCCACCCCAATTAAATATTTTTTCTTTATAAGAGTTGCCATGGTCATGGTGTCTCTTCACAGCAATAGAAACCCTAAGACAGGCATTCAAGGGGACTGAAGAGATGGCTCAGAGGTTAA